CATTCATTTTGAATTTGCTGCCTTTCAGCTTCATTGAATGTGCCTTTGCTCTTGCATTATGAGAGTATGAAAACAGGAGGGCCCCATTTCCCTTCTCCATGCCATTCATTATTTCGTCTCTCTCAATCAGATCCCCATGGTTAAAAGTGTCTGAGTGCAGAGCTCAGCTGTGCCAATCCTATCTGGGTGCATACTGCAGGTGGGGATTTAAGGTTTCTAGGAAACTTCTCCCCCCTTTGCATGTCCTCACTGAGACTAGATATAATGGCAGTACATTTCCGTGCCCTAAACTCATTGACTGCTCCAAGTGAACAACTCTATCCGCACTAGCCTCCCCCAAGTGAATGGGAAAAGCAATCATTGCCCCAGTCTACCTCGTAAAGAGCCAGTGGATCTGGCTTAATATGGGAAGGGAGCACATGCTGCAACCTCAAAGAGGGTGGGGTACTAGGTAGACTCCCCCATGCTCCAGGAATTATTGCCACTCCATAGGTTGCCACCGGGACTTCCACTTGTGCTGGGCTGTGTGCCTTCAAGGCACAATCAACTCCTTAGAGTCATAATACCTACTTGCCTACATCTGTGCACACAACTCCCATTAACTTACCGTAGGGGTTATGTCAAAGATCAAGTGTTACACGGGAAGAAAGAGCCATTGGAGTTTATTTTCTCAATGGTACAGGCTTTCAAAATCAGCAAATGTACAAAAATACATACTTGTGCTGATCCTGTTCACGCTAAATGCAACAGCCAGAATTCTTCGTAGTTCAATAGGAACAGGAGCAGGCTTACTGTGTTTACCTGATAAACCACGCAAGTTCTAAGGGACCATACAGTCCATTAAGAAAAACACCAAAAAGCATGTGTTATAAATATGAAAGTATGACCCTGATTGGGATATCACTTGCACTGGTATAAATCATGAGTAATTCCATTAACGTCCATGGAGTTGCATTAAATCAGTACGCATGAGACAGAATCAAGCACTGTATTTACTCAAGTAAATAATATACCTTTAAAAATCACTTTCAATTATATTACTTAATTTAGTACAAGATCACCAGTGAAATGTGAACAAGCTCAATTTTCAGAAAAAACACAGGTTTTATAGTTGTTTATAAAAGATTTTTCTTCCTTTTCTATTATGATAAAATAAAGGAAACACACAAGCCGTGAATTCACATTGTGGCTGGAACTGGTGCTCCATCTGATTGTTGCTTCTGAAAATTTTGTGGCAGGTTACCATTTTTGGTAATACTTTTGCAATTTTGCGACAGATGAGGACTATTTATACAAAATCATAACTTTCTTTTCATAACCACATCGCAGGTATTTACTGTGAGCTCCATGCTCTTCTGATCCAGTGTACCATAATGTTTTGATTTGGAAAGCAGGGTGCATTGTAAATTCTAGTGAGAATACTGAATGCAATATATATATATTGCAGATAGTAAAAAGAAAAGGAGTACTTGTGGCACCTTAGAGACTAACCAATTTATTTGAGCATGAGCTTTAGCTGTAGCTAAACAGCTGTAGCTCACGAAAGCTCATGCTCAAATAAATTGGTTAGTCTCTAAGGTGCCACAAGTACTCCTTTTCTTTTTGCGAATACAGACTAACACGGCTGTTCCTCTGAAACCTGTCATTGCAGATAGTGTAATCGACTTGAGTTCTACTACTGTGTACTTCCAAACCTTACAGAGCAATATTTTATTCATTAGTCTCTACATATTTTCCCACTCCTGAAACAGCACCTGATTATCTTCAAAACAGCTGTACACTAGAAATCTTCCTGATTATACTTCACAACTTTCTTCTACAAAATTGCCCTTTTAATTTTTGGGAAAATTAAAGCCATGCTATCGATTTAGTTTTATGTTGCTATTCACCAGGTTATTCCCCTCCCCCAAAACTATTCATCAGCTTATTCCCCTCCCCCAAAATCTGTAAATTCACTAGTATTCTGAAAAGAGCCATCTAAAATTTAGAAACCATTTCATAGCTATCATGGCCTTTTTAATGAAAACGTCTATTTTTGTGTACAAAAACTGCCAAACTCGCAATGCACACTAACCAGGCATATGTTTTTGGTTTTGTATTTGTTTTATTAAGTTAGTTGATCGTTAATGACTGGCACCAGCCTGACTTGCATGGGAGACCTGATTCCTCCATTTATCCACAGAATGGATACAGAATGGGTAATCGCTTTCCCACCCCCAGTTTTACATGAGGTTCAATCCCATACTTGTAGGACCACTTCTAAATGTAAGATGGCAGTTTGTCTCTATGCTCAGTCAGACTCTCCTGTTTCTCAAAACTAGCATTAACTAGCACAGTTGTTGGCAGTGTTTGGATCCATATTAGGCTTGATCCAATTCCTATTAAAGTATTTTCCATTCAGTTTTATAGGAGCTGGAGCGAACCCATTTTTAGGAAATCATCCAAAAAAATTATATATCTTTCCCATTTTGCCTCTGTACGCAGAATTTTTCATAAATTGTTATTGTGGCAAAGCTGGCATATGCCAGAAAATTTCAAAAACTATGGCTAGCTTCCTGGGTCTGATTCTAATCTCACTTAAACTAGTGAAAATCAGAAATAACTCCCTTGAATTTGGGTGTATAAAATTGAAGTCATAATGCCTGGGAAATAAGTTCTTGGGCCTTGTCTGGAGCTGCAAGAGCTATGGACGGTGAATAAGCTTCAGCATTGACTATTATGCTGTTTGTCAGCATGCGACATAACTTTGACATTACTGAAACATATTGTACTTTTTCCCTGTGAATACTGATGTCCTCTGTGACACTTGTTTACTATGCATTCATTGGTGAATGACCCACTTTTAAGATGTGAATCACATTTCGCATAAATATTTATCAGCAAAGACCAGAATACAAGGAAAAACATGATTGAGGATGTAAACATTTTAATGATTAATCATCTGCTATTACTCCGAGTTCTGCCAAAGAATCAAACCTCTACATTTATATGCATTACTTTATGCTAAAAGCGACTCTTGCCAGTTCAGGTAAAGGTAACTTTTGCAACTAAAGACACCTTCTTAAAAAATTAAAGTATTTTTAATGTATTACTTATAAGCTTTATAACATTAAAACCACTCACCTTTGAGTTTTAAAGTTAGCTACTAGAAGAAACAAGCCATCTAGTCCCCATACTTTAAAATATTCACCAAAAATACATTTTTCAACCTGAACTCTGGGTTTTCCTTTCACCTGCAAACCCTAAACTATTTACATTTGTAGTTGGGAGGTGAAAAGGAGGACAATTCTCTTTTGCTTCCTGTTAGAATTTTTAAAAAACCAATAACATGTTTTTAATTATTCTGTATTTACACAATAAGCTGCAAATATAAAATCTCCATGAACTGTATATTGGTTACAGATTCAGCATTCCAATACTTTGCTTAAAGTATATTTTTACATGCTTAATAATTGTGTGTTCAAAACAGAATAACGAAGTCTTGTTCACAGCACATCCCTCTGAAAGAAACCTGCAGAAGAGTAATCTGTCTTTAGGAGAGTCAAACTGCAAAAGACCATCTGCGTAAATCATCTTCACCCATGCTTTAACAAGATTAACTTTATTTACACCTAATGTCCTAAGCCTAGCTTATAGAAAGCCCACTCCACAAGGTAAAAAACATCTAAAATAAACAAAAATTGATTAAAGGTGCTCTGTGTGTTTTTCTTGAACAGTAAAGTCATGCATGCGTGCATATTATTTGGTATGTGCATGGAGTGTTTTAGCTTGATGTAGATGTATCAAATGTATGAAGAAGGTATGTCAGGGCAGGAGCAAAGTATTTCACAGAACAAGCCTACATAAAGCCCTCATTCAAACCTGATGGTTAGAAGCCCCATGACTGTCTTGGTCAGCCTGGTGCATCAGCAGAGATGCTGTGTCACTTTTCTTTTTCCCAAGCCTATATTTTAATCCCCTAATTCCAGGAAAAAGTAAAATCTTTATGGGTTTTGGTCCCTATCTCCCAAATTATACCATCAAAAGAGAGAACATACTGTCTAGCTTCTCCTGTAGCGCCAGAAAAAAACCCCTGGCACCCCAATACTTCCTGGCACAATAGTGCCATAAAAACCAAGATTCAGCACCTCGAGCCAGCTAAATATTGTTCTAAAGAAAAGGCAAAAATTGAGGCATTTCAGTTAAAAACTGACAGGGTCCGATACCCAATTTGTATTTTCCCCTAGTACTGTTGGAGCAGACGCAGGAGGGTCCAGATTTGTCAGTGAAGTAGGAGTAGCTATGCTGGTTTCTGTTTAGATTGTACATATAGGATCTGGGGGCCAAAAATTGCCAAAATCCAGCTGGATCCAGGTGTCAGATACATATTTTTGAAGCCCCATTATGCCAGTATATGGTGGGCTCAAAATATTGTGAGAGTAGTAGGAGCAGCTAAACCCATTCTGTGTTAAACAGTGGAACTTGGAAGGTGGGGGCTAAAAATTAGCAGGATCCAACAGTGTTCAGGTGACGGATCTGAGTCTTTGCATTGTTATGCTGATATTTTTGGCACACTCAGTATAGCTAAACTGGTTCTATGTAGTGGAATTTGGGCTATTACTGCCTACATGTGTCAGGACCCACATGCTGGACTTGGGGATCTATGGCACTTCCGCTCCAGAGTCCAGATTCTTTTGGTGCAGTAGGAGCAGCTAGACTTGCTCTTTATTTTGATGGCACAATCTGGGGATCAAAAATCAGCAGTATTTGGCAGGATCTAAGTAGATCCAGCTTTTTGCTCTCCTCGCTCCCACTGATATAGCTTCTCCTCAGACTCTGAGGGACAGTCTTTTTGGGAGGGGGGAGCAGGAGGGGTCTTTTCACATTATCTTTCCTCAATAACAAAATCAGGATCATTACTTTGGTTTGCTTTTTAAACGCACAAAGCCTACCTAGTTCTCCCCACAGACAGACACACAGGCAGACTGACAGACAGGAGGGACCGTGCACAGTAACCATACCCCCAAATCCAGGACGCAGCCTGTTGTCATAACCATCCAGGAGACTGTTCAGGATGCTTGTAAAATTCTCCGGCCATAATTTCTCCTCCTTTTTGATCTGCCCCGGGGGCTCGGTGACGCTGCCAGGGGAACAGACAAGCCATTATCATTGTAGATGCGAACTTGGGGGGGGGGGGTAGGATCAGCCAGGGGTCAGAATGGGTTTTCTTCAACCCCCACCCCCCCTTCCTCCGTCCCCTGCCCCGGGTCAGACGCACGGTCCAAAGCCAGCGCGCCGGGGATCAATCAACGAGCAGGTGGCCTGGAGCCGCTGGCTCGGGGGGACTCACCAGGTCGCCAGGCACAGGAAGTGCAGGAGGGTGATGCAGAGACCCGAGGACATCGCGATCACTAGCTCCTTGGCAGAGACCATCTTTGCATGCCATTCTTCAAGCCTGGCCGCGTGCCCCGTCACTCAGCGCCTGGCCCGGAGGGGAGACCCCGGCCGCCGGCGGGGGAGAGGGAGGGGGCGGCCCGCCCCAGAGCGCCCGGGCGGGCGCAGGCACGCTCGGAGGAACCAGCGCGGGGGGACCCTGCTTGCTCGCGCCGCTGGTCTCCCGGCCGCGCTACATCTCGCGGCTGCCGCGTCGCCGGGCGCTCTGCACATCCAGGCGGCTGGGCGAGGCTGCCCGAGCCGCTAACTCGCGAGGGGGCAACAGGCTCCCGTCCCCCAGCCCCGCTCCTCCCTTCGTCCCGCCCCCCCGCTAGTCCCTCGCAAGAGGGGGTTCGGCTCGATCACATGGAGCCGGGCGCTGCGGCTCGCCTGGTTGTTTGCCCCGCTCCCTTGCGAGCGCCAGAGGAGAGGGAGGATCCAACGTGGCAACTACGAGGCAGAAACCGCGGGTGGGTAGGGAGGGTCTCCTCCCTCCCTTGCGTCCCTTCACCCCACGGCTCTGGGGTGGGTGGGAAAAGGCTAAAGCCTCGCTTCCCTGCCAAGTGTTAATTTTATACTGGGGAGGGGAGGGGCACAGCCACTAATTGGCGAGAGAAAATGTCACTTTAGCAAGAAGCCCATTAATTACCAAGAATAGGCTGTTTGAGGACACCGCCCTTTCCCCCAGCACTTCCACCTCCATCTAAACACACACACCCCCACCCCCATTCCCTTTTGGGGCATTATTATACCTTGTTGCCTGCTGGTGACAAATACTTTCACTTCTTTGAAACACTGTATCCCAGAATGACGCAGACTTGTTGGGAGACTTCCCCCTCTCTTCCCCTGGTGGCTCTCTCCCCAGCTGTCCTGGTGATGATCATGGTGATGAAGTCTTCATTTGTCTTGACTGTCTTTTCTTTCTTAGGAAGGGGTGGGGGAGAAACAAACCCACCAGCCACAAAGAAATGAAAGCCTGGCGCATGTATTTCCTGGGTGTAGGAGGTTTGAAAGAAGGAGACTTTTTTTTTCCCCATGTAGATCGTGGTATAAAATAAGGGGAGGGGGGAGAGAATTGTAGCTGCAGTGTTAAAAACAGTGCACACCCAAAATGGATGCAATCGAGCTAATTACCCTTGGATAGAAACACGGAGATGCTACACAGAGAGAGCAGATAGCTTGCACATTCAAGAGCTGGTTGTTTTGTGGTTGGTTGGTTTTGTTTTTGTTTCCTCATAGTGATGAAACCAGCTGTGATGACCCAAATAATTTCCATTATATTAAGTCCAAGGGATTATGCACCAATTACAGAGAGCTCCTTTTTGAAATGTTACTACTCAATCAGAGACTATTTGGGTTACAAGCTTTCTTCCTCCCTCTCCTCCCCCCCCCCCCCATTTCTTTTTTCTCAGTCACACTAAAAGTGTTTACTATGAACATCGACTTGTTCTTCTGATTCAGTGTACTGTACAGTTGTTTGTATTTGGAAACTAGAGTGCATATAAATCTTAATGAGGATTCTGAATTTCATTGTGCTGGAGTATATAAAGCAGGTATTGTAATTGACTCAACTACTGTTGTACTGCCAAGCCTGCCAGAAAAGGGCTTTATTTGTTACTTGCAACAGATTCTACAACCATTGAAATGGCACCTGATTATCTTCAAAACTGCTCTCCACTCGAAATCTTCCTGACTGTACTTCAGAATTTGCTCCAAGGAAGGTGCCCTTTTCTTACTCCTTTGAAAAACAATTAAAGCTGTGCTAAATAGATTTCAAGCACATGCTGCTGTTTATCTTTCAAAAGACTCCATCTAGGCAGGCCCTATTTAGGGTTGTGCAAATTCTTAGCCTGCTTTCTGGCAGTTTCAAAGGGTGAAATGCAAGAAGCTTCCCTTTGGGATTTTTTCCCTATACTGTATTTTGTATGTTACTTAATATGTAGTACACATTGTAAATTAAATTAATTATTATTACACGTTAGAAAAAACTGAAATCAGGGCCTTATTATGCTAGAGGCAGTACATACAAATAGTAAGAGACAGTTCCTGCCATGAAGAGCTCACAATCTAAATAGACAAGACAGAGCAGAGATTGGGAGAAAGGAAGGATTATTATTCCCATTTTACAGATGAAAACAGAACCCAGAAAATTTGAGTGATTTGACCAGGGTCATACAGGATATTTGCATCAGAGCAAGGAATTTAACTCCGATCTTCTGAGTTCCTCTCCAGGTCTTTAACCACAAGCTCATCCTTCCTCCTAAGGCACAACAAAAATCTGTGTGTAAAAATGCAGTATTCAATGGGCCTAGGTTTGCCCTCACTCATAATTCCCACTTCATTCACGGCACTTACTCCAGGAATGAAGTCACCCCAATATATTTTACTCTGAAGTGTGATATTAACAAGAGCACTTTATAGTATCACTTATTTTAACACACACTTCTTCAACATCCTGTAACAGTGATGGGGAATCCCTTTTAGTGCAAATGCAAAATAACGCCAATGTTGTTGACTTAAATTGGGTTTCTGTGGTTCCTGACAGCAGTGAAAATGTGGTTGTTTAAGCAGGTGAACTGTGAGCTTTGTGCACAAGCCCTGCTAAAGCCACAATCTCAGCTGGAACAAGACTTATGACAGTGGTCACTGCTAGGGATTGCCAATTTTTGGCCAACCAAAAAAAAAAAAAATTTCTCAAACAATAAAAGACTTGTGGACCTCCATTCCCAGTCTCCATCCTACAGCTTCCAATGTTGTCTCTCCTCCATCCAAGTCTTTGCTTCTTACATTCACTTAAACCTTTAAGTTAATTTTTACTAGGGAGTTTTGCTGGCATTAGGCCCATTGCCAGCCTCTTTCACCCACCACCTACCCGCTCCATTGGGCAGCTGGCTCCATGGAAGGAGCAAGGACAGCACAGTTCCTGTGCACAAGGATTGCGCTGGTACTCTGCCCTCACACAAGGTAGCTATTTTTATAGTTTCCTCTGCACCCACGCAGGGGCAGCTCATGTTTTTGTCCTCAGTGGTAGAGGGGGATTGGAAGTCAAATCCTGGGCATCCCTGGAAAATCTTGCAGGATAATCTGGTCATTTGAGGATAGACAGAAACGACTTTCTCAGTATAATGCAGACCCTATCACAGAGGCATCTCAGTTTCATTTAGCCTGAGTTGGGGGGGACACGGTTAGGATGAGGAATCAGGGAAACAACTTCTCAGTACACCATGTTCCCCTTTGAGGGCTGCTAAGTTATAATTCAAAATGTATCATAAATTTCTGTTGCCCAGAGCAACAGTAACAATCCCTCTGCAGCTTTTCACACTGCGGGAGGGTAAGGGGAGATGGCTGACAGCTTCAAGATAGCAGCAATTCTTCAGGGATAAGCTCATGCTACAGCTGCCTTAGTAAATCTGAAGGTGAGTGCAGATGGGCTGAGAATTAGCCTTATTCTTCTTGCACACCTATGCATTCTGGTAGAACTTCCTGCCCCCGCCCCAGCTTTTCTACTCTGCCACTGGCCCTGGCTCCCAGAGGGGATGATAGAACAGCAGTACAGAAAGGACACCCAGCTGTAGGGATTGAGATGCTCTTGGGGCGTACACAGCACATAATGAGTATAACCCCGGGAGTAGAGTTCAACCTTCCATGGAAACCTTAGACCCAATTCTTGCATTATGGAGTATTGCCCACTCTCGTGGTTTTAGTGCAAGTCTCACAATGGTTGATATTTTTTCTTAAAGCCTCAGCTTCTGGAAGCAAATGATTACATGAGAATCTGAGCTTTCCTTAAAACAGAGAAAAAGAAAGTTTCTATCCCTCATTGTTGCAGAGAAGAGCCTGAAACTCTGAGCTGAGTCCCTCCTGCAGCCTCAAAAACCAGAAGGCAAATCAAAAGAACACAATATTATTATTAATTAATTATTATTATTTTATTATTATTAATAATAATAAATCTCACTACTTTAGTGGGGGCTTACTCGTGATTCTTGAACCATTGGGGCTGGCCACACTGGTTATGGCCCATTTATGGTGCTATAATGTGAACTGTCTGTTTGCCAGTGGTGGGTTAGCAAAGCCAGGCGCTGTCTCTGGAACAATGATGGAGGCACCTGTTCAGCGAATAACAGAACTACATCTATTTATTACTGGAAGAGGGTACAAAGGCAGCTCACCTCCTGCCGGTATCAGAATACTTTCCCTTTCACCCTGAGACTAGGGCCTTTTCCATCTGGGCGAAGCCATATCCTGAAGGGGCTGTATCTCTGGGTGTGCCATGACAAGAAACACCCCCTCGCCCAGGTAGCATAGTAATCCTGTTACAATGCCCTGATGGCATCAAAGGACCATAAAGGCAATGGAGCTGGTCCTGACGTAAAGAAATTCTTCTGTGCCACCCCCTCCACTGATCCACATGATATGGTGGGCTGCAGTCAGCAGGAAAGGGAAGTAGCCTCAGTCTGGTTATGCACAGCTGCTGGCATATTCCTTGTGGTCTGAAGCTGCTTAAAATGTGGGGAGACACAAAAATATGTTAAAGCCACCATTTCCTCTCTCCAGTCCCAAGCAGAGCTCAGTCTGAACTGATAATCAGACCCATTACATCTAAATGTCCTGGCTACTGGGGATTCAAAACCTGTAAAGTTTAGCAAAGCAGCAAGTGTAGCAGCTGTGCTGAATAATTTAGATGCCTTATTTTAATATTTATAAATGTTTACTGGTCTTGAAAAGTAAAGTAGGTAGATGTGTTGTGATTTTAATTATTAAAAAGAAACATAGAAATCCACCTGCATATAAATGGATATGGTCCATCAAATATACTAAAACCAAATCTTCTTTTGAATTACACCATCATTGTTCTAAAGGACAACAGACTCATTTAAGAATGCCATGAATGCTTTGACACTAGATGTAAAATATACTTCATCTTTTTTTCGAAAGAAAAAAACATTTGAAGAGTCTGCAATGCAAACAGACCCTATAAGTCAGACTTTTGTAGTGGCCCAATGAACAGGAAAGAACTGAGCAGTTTAGCTTTTACAGCTGAACTCATGTAATCCCAGTGGCAAAGACTAAACATGCCACAGGAGTAATACCCTACTTTCTCAGACAACACACAAGCCAGTCTGCTCTTCATTAGCGCCTGTTGGTTGCTGTTTGGAGTGGCACTGCACATATTTCTAAAAGGAAGTGAAAGGTACTTGTAATGTCATTGCCAAAAGAAAAATGGCAGAGGAGCAATCTTGTCTTAAAGTGTGCCGGGGAGGAGGGGGCGGAGAGGTTGGACAGGATCATGCTTGGCGCATCTAGCCCACTCAGCTGCGGCAGCTGCACTTCTATTTTCAGTGTGCTAGCTTGATCCGAGCTAGTGCAGGTACATCTACCCAAGCTGGAAAATGCACCTCCAGCTCCAATGTATTCATACCCTTAGAGGCATTGACCGTAAAGGTATCAGGCTGAGAAAATATTGAAAAGATGAACAGATGGAGGCAAAAGACAAAATGAAGGAACATTTTGTGTTAGTTCATCAAGTAATAAA